GGCCCAGCTGGGCGGCCCGTCGGAACCGCCCCGGGAACGCAGCCGCAGGGCGCCCGGGAGGCAGCCGCGCAGGCCTCTCCGGGCGGGTGTGGCGTCTAGAGCTGGAGCGCGCCTTTCCATTCCTTGACCAAGTAACAACGCCTGCCTTCGCTTCGGAACCGCTGTCTCGTTCTCTTGGCTCGAGCGTCGCAGCAGGAGGACCCTTGTTGGGGACGGGCTCCAAAGGGTCAGCGACGCTAACAGTGAGGGCTTCCGTGCTGCCATCAGTTGGGAAGGACACTGCCTGGCCATGCAGGGATGCCCACCATCCTGTAGAAAACCACAGACCCCCGGCATGAGGAGGGCTGGAGGAGGGTGAGGAACATTCCAGAAGGTCCAGGCGCTGTTCTTTAGGCCCGGGCAGCCTGCATGGTAAGATGCTGTCTTTCAACCTAGCTGAGGACCTGGGCCTTTCGAGTTTAAAATACAGTCTGCAGGGTACCACTTGTTAAGAGTCAAAACAGGTACAGTCCACCTTCAGACAAACGTGGCGATACACACAGAGAACTTTAAACATGTTTATTGCTTTTGACTTACCCAGAAATTCCCACTTTGGGAATTCTATCCTGAAGAAATAATAGGCTGTCATTTTGGTCATCAAGGTATTCATCCCAGCATGATTTATAACAGGAAAAAACCAGCGACCAGTCTAAACCCCTAACTTCGGGGAAATCGTTATGTAAAACCGTGGTGCCTCCCTGGATGTACCACCCATGGATATAGTATTAAAATGAAGTTTGTGGGAAAAAAATGTTAGTGACAGGAGGAAAATAACATGATATAACCATATTTAGAATACTTAAAACGTGAAAATTAAAAATGATTTAAGTTACAATATAAAAGCAATATACAAAACATGTGGTCACAACTATGTTACAAGTAGGTAAGGAACAAAGACAAAGGAAACCAACAACACTAAATTCTCTCCAGACGTGAGACTACAAACTTTCAATCACCTGTTGGTACGTTCATGTATCTTCTAACTGAATCATTTTGTAATCAGAAAAAGTGGCTTCTGTTTGTTCAGACTCCTGAGGAAGCCCCATCTATCTACAAGTAAGAAAACATCACTGGCTCCCGTCCGCTCCCGTCCACCCTCTCCTACCTACCTGCTGTGAGACTCAAAGCCTGGCTGAATCTGAGCCTCCCCTGCCTCACTCTGTGCCCAGCGGGTACTGTGGCTGGAGAAGACATTTCAGGAACACAGGCTTGCGGGAAAAGGGCACATTTGGTGGTCAGGGTTCACTCCCACTCTCCAGGTGGGGCTGTCCAGAGAAGACACAGCCTGGAAACCTCAACACAATGCCAGGTCTCTTTAGCAAAATCTGCAAGTCTGGGCCTACCTTCCCACCTGGCAGTAGACGGGGGCGAGTGAGGCCTGACTCTTGAGATTCAGTTTGCCGTAGTCCTCACCCTTTCGTGATGAATATCCAGCTTCCCTCGCTCATTTACGTTACCTCCCTGGCCCCAGAGAGCATCTGCACTTGTGAGCCCCAGAGGAAGATGTAAAACTCATACGTTACACACATCCACGTTTCCTGCCTTATGAAGGAAGATAATACGGTAAGAATGTACTTCATGTGCATAAACATGCAACAGTGAAAAACAGTGACTCTTGGTCTCTGGTTCCAAGTCACAAAAATCACTTCTTGAAGTAACTTTTAAACAGTTGGCTTAATTCACTATTGTGTTCAATTTCAACCCATGGAGCTTCACAGACCAGCCAGCCACCTCTCAGGATTCAACAAATTGAAAGAACTGAAGTGTTCATTATTCACTTTTTCATCAAAAAACCTTTTTATATTATTGACTAGACAATACAATAGTTTTTCTCTTGTAATTGATATTTCACTTTGTTTCAGTGTACCTATTTTTTTTTTCATATTTAACTGTTTCAAAGTTTCCTCGTTTACGTTCCGCACTGAGTGTGTCTCTCCAAAATTCATGTTAAAGCCTTACCCCTTCCCCAGTGTGGTGGTTTTAGGAGGCAGGGCCTTTGGGAGGTATTAGGGCTTGACGAGGTCATAAGGGCAGGGGTCATAGGGATTAGTCACAAGAGAGCTCACTGCAAAGTAAGGATTCAAGGAGTTGGCAGTCTGCAAGCCGGGAGAGGGCTCTCACCAGAACCCAACCACCCTGGCACCCTGATCTCAGACTTCTTGCCCCCAAAACTCTGAGAAAGAAATTTCTGTTTTTGTCAATCACCTAGTCTGTGTTCTGCTGTAGCAACCGGAACACACTATAACAACTTGCATATGGTCAATCATTTCACAGTCCACTGAAATAATGCCAGCTCTAATAAGTAACACATTTTTCTCATAAAGCTATTTCCATTAAAAAATCTTTTAATGCCAATGCTCTTAAGGACATTTTTCAAATGGATAGCTACCGCACAGAGAACAGGCAGGTACCGCACCTCAGGCCCAGCAGAAGACACGCAGGACCCGCACCTCAGTCCCAGCACAGAGAACATGCAGGAGCTGCCCACTTCCAGTCACTTCTGCAGCTCTAGCACGTCCGGCTAACCAGCAGGGCTCAGAGCTCACTACTTCATTTGCAGTTCTTTCTGATATTTGATGCATGGTAATAAATACAATTTATTCAGAAAATATTAAATATTTAATATTTTTAATATTAAAATTGCTTAACTTAAATCTTGTATTGCTTTATCCAGAATTAATTTGATCGCTTAGTGACAAATTAAAATACCCAAAATTGTTTTTCCTAAACTTTTGGCTGAAACTCCAGACTCCTTCTAGCATTATACTGGCACTTTTGGTACAAAATCCAATCTTTTTGAAATTGTAAAATATTCCTATGACACTTCTATAAAACATTTTCCAATAAAATACGTATTTTTTTTCTCCACCAACAAAGTTCAATACATTGTATTAAGTGCAGCTCCCAGTGCCGTAAGATCAACAAGAACCGTTTTCAAAATCTTGAAATTTGTATTTTCAGCAAACTTTAAAAACACCTGCATTTAAACAAACAAAACATTTACTTTTATGTCAGACAAATGAAGCTTCTTTGATGATTGAAAATGCACTGCATTATTTTCTTGAAAAAGTTGTCTTCTCATTAGGTGCATCTGTTTTACAAAAAGTGGGTTCCACAGCACCCATTTCCGTATCAATAGTATTCCTTTAGACATTTTAGTAAATCATGGAAATGCTCAATTATATTTAACTATATAGTGCTAAAAGTGCCGACAGTACCCTCTGTATCTTTTCATTGCTTTATCTTCACTTTGATGACATTTGGGGGAGTTTTAAGTTTTCAGATGTTTAATATATGAAAATGTTTTAAATTCCTTCCTCATTGATGATCACAGCTTTTCTCACTTGAACCACAACCACAATTTTTTAACAGCATCCTGATGAAATTTACATGTTTAACACTTTGATCTTTTAACATAACTTTTGAGCACTATTTGCAGGCAAAATTTGTCATTAGCAATAACTCAAATTCCTGTTTGAAAAATAAATCAAGAAATTTTTCGTTCCAAAACTACAGATTTTATGTAATAAAATGCATTTAATACAAGTTTTATTTTGTGCGGATTTTTGCACAGTATCAAAACAAGTTCCAGACTGGGACTCACTACTCTTATAATTCCTTCTTTGTTCTTCTGCAGATTAAGATTCACATTTATTATATTTACAGGTATTAAAGATGTATCAAGATTTTGTCTCTTTACTCTAGGTATTTGTTTTCAATATTTACATTAAAATCTTAAGTGTATAAAATACAAATACCCTGCACGCCTACTATTTCAAAAGAATTACACTGAGCTAACAATGAAACTATTTTAAGCTAGTGATTCTCCTAAAGCAAGTAGTGTTTTGTTATTACAAGCAAGTTGTTACATGCAACTTAGCCCCAGTCCCTTCAGTGACACAGGTCAGACTGTGACATGAATGTTCCTCAGCTGTGGCTACAACAGGAGGCCCATTTTCTACGGTACTAATGTTCTAAAACTGTCAGAACAAACCTATGAGTTTACATTAAATTTTATATTAGCTAACTGTAACTGTACAATTTTTCTTTTTTTTTGAAACTTTTCTTATTGAGTAATAGTCATTTTACAATGTTGTGCCAAATTCCAGTGTAGAGCACAACAATTTCTATGATACTATTTACTATGAAGTATTTCAGTTATTTTTCACCATCAGTATGGTGCGGGGTGTGTATGAGGTAAATATCAGCTCTGATCTGCCTGCTGAATGTATTAGTCCAGGAGCTGCCAGTTTTAGCTTCTGGCCAAAGCTCCAGAAGAAATCATCAAAGGGTCCTGGATGGGAAGATGAGGTTGCATGTAGAGCAGTCGGGCTTACTTTTTCTGGGTGAAGGATGGATACCAAGTGATGTCACACCCGGGTCACCACTGGAGTTCCTGCCCGCCTCCTGCAGTCTTTTGAATTCTCCATACACGGGTTAGGTTTTCAAAAAAGGCTTCCCGTCCTACGAAAATTCCTGAGACAAAAGTTTACAAATCCTGGCTACCTGATAGAAATGGGAGGGGAGGGAAAAACTGAAAATAGCAACCCCTAAATTAACGCTGCAGAAAGCATCCTGCCACATCTGCATCTCCAACGTCTACTGGTCCAGGTCCGGACTGCGCTCCAGGAACCCCCCGCCACCTCCCCTTCTAGACGCTGACACACGAAGTCTCTTTCCCTTGGACTGCGTTTCACAAGCCACCCTTGCGTACAGATGCCTCGAAAATAAACTGCAAACTGCCGGTCTAGCACCCCTGGCGCCACGCCCTGGCCCCAAGAACATTAGATCCCACCGTCCCCTCACACAGCCTCGGCTCCAGCCCGACAGGCCCCCTCTCCCCAGAGGACTCGGGCAGCCACACCGCGAGCCGTGCTCTCTACGGCCGCCTACCCCTGGGCCCCTCCTCCATCACTTCTCTCCAGGACCACGACTCCTCCGGGAGGCCTCCCTGGACTCCCCGGCGCCCAGCCCTTCCGAAGCCTGCCGACCACGACCGCCCGGGTCCGCTCCACCACCCCACGAAGCCGTGTCCGTCGGCCCCGAGGCCGCGCGCCGGACCCCAAGGTGGTGCCGGGATCCGCCCGCCGGAAGGAGCGCACCGGCTACACTAGCGCGGCGAGGTTCCGCTGATGAT